TGATGACTTTAAATAAATTATTGATATGAGGAAAAGTTTAGTAGATACATACATAACCGAGTATAATATTATTAGCAGAGTGCCCCTATCATCTTTTTAATAAAACGTAGAAGAGTTATATACTATATGAACATTTAACAAGTGGTAGTAGTGGAGATATTAGAGGCGGATTAATATATAAAATATGATATTTGAAATATTCTTCTTCTCTTTGAAATGCATTAACTTAGTCAGTCAGATGCAAATATTGTGTGAAAATTGTTTCTTATAGAGATTGATTCTTCTGATTTTCAGTTACTATCACAGAATTAAGTAAATTTAAACAATAAAAATGTCATTCGCGGCTTTCAAGTTCATTTTCGATTTGAAAAAGGGTATAATAGCGACGAATATCGCAGTTTGTCGAAAGATTCTTAGATGTTTATAAAATGAAAGAGTTTTTGCTTGATTGAGTAATTGTTGAAGTATCGGTCGAAATTATTTTCGTTGTACATGGTCCTCTTGTACAGTTATTCATTATACTATATCATCGTCATTATTTTATAATAAAATGGCGGTAATACAACATAAGTATCAATTCTTTATGTATGTAAGATTTTTTAATTTAATCAAGTTACATAAGGTCAGTTGAGTGGGTAAACGAACGAATGGATCGAAAGGCTGTACGCAAAGAGACGAATGGGCGAAATGAATGAATGAAAGAACGCATTGACTAAAGTTGGAAGAGAGACGACTGAAACTAAAGCCGGATATGGTTTAATAAAGCAGTGATTAATTTATATGAAAAAAAAGCTGACACCTACTTACGCCATGCCATATAAATTTAAAACACTTTAATGGCGCGTTTAGACAACGAATTATTTCATCATTTTCGAGCTGAATTTGTCATCAACATTTTCTGTTCTGGTTTATAGAATTTCGTTTTTTCGTAATAAATTAAAGATCAATAGCGCATCTTTAATGCACCTTAGTCAACGAATAAGCTTGCAAACAAATAATTTAAAATCGCGGAAAATAAAACGTATATCATCCGGAAACACCGAAACATAAGCTGCTCTCTGTCTAAACGCACTGCAAAACAGTCCTTTTTTTACAATATGAAAGAAAGCCGTATTGTTATTTGGCAGCATTGTTCAGCTTTACTATGCTGATAGTAGCGCACATTAATCGTTATCGGTTTAGTGTATTTTTTCGCTTCATTGATTCATGTCTACGGATCGTGTCTGTGGTGTGTGCTTATAAGAATAACAATCAAAAAAGAGGATATAAAAAAAAGAAATTGGTGGATAAGATATTCACCCAACTTTGGTAAGCTTGCGAGATAAATTAAATAGTAGACACGTTAAACTCTATAATCGGTAGAGAATTTCGTTGCAAATCTGATAAAAGTAAAATGTTGTTAACTTGCATCAAACCTGTTTTATAATGAAATTGAAGTAGTGTAAGGAATGATATTTTTTGTATGTATATGAAAAAAATTGCACAATTGAAAAACAAAATGACTATTGAGTATTGTTGAAACTAGTCTAAATTTTGTAGAAAAATCGTGAACAAGTTTTCTGGAAATTACTAAAACACTGGAGGTTTTCATGATTACGTACATTTCGGCAAAAGTGTATCATCAGACGATATATCAATTGCATCATGTAAAGTACATTCAGAAGATGTCTTAACAGAATAGAGATAATATAATGAGACTTGTTTTGCTTTTATCTGGTCCGGGAGGGAGGCTTACTACCACGATAAAAGGCAAAAAGGTATACATTTCAATATTTAGAATTTTAAAAGAAATACAAAAGGACGCTTGACGTTCCGCATTAAAGTATTGTGTATTTCAATTCAAAAAAAAATTTTTTTATGCAGGCAATTTTATATGTTTAAACTTAAAACTTTTCCGTAATGTATAATGTGGGCTATTTATGAGTCGTTGGCTGTATAAGAGAGAGCGAAATAGTAAAGTGCCAACGTATTGCTTTATCTTGGACAAAATCCGCTTGTTTATTGATTTCTTTTTTTAATTTACATATATAAATAATCATGTAACACGGCGAAGGCCAGAAGAGGTGGACAAAGAGAGAGAGGGAGAGAAAGAGAAAGAGGGAATGGCCTCAGACTAGGAGGCAAGTATTATTCCTTTAGCGGCCGAACACTCACTATAGCTACAATCGCGCACCAACCGTAATTACACTATAGCCTGCCGCATTGGAAATTGCACATTCGGTCCTGTCAACTTGGTAGCTGCGTCTCTTAACTAGCTTGCCTAGCTTTGTACTAACTTATTGAAATTTGATAGATGTGAAGTTATGTGAGAGGTAATTTTATATGACCTGCATTTCCACAACATAGTTAAATCGGTACGAAGACTAATATAAGGAACTGCATATAATGCGGTATCGGCTAAGTTTCATTACTTATTATGTCTTAATAGTGAACTGCAATTGAGATAATCTGTTTAAAAGAACTTTTTTTGCTTTGTGTTTAAATTTTTATTTTTGATCTCTAATTACTTTTGTTTGCAGCATTATTACCAAAAAACTATTAAGCGCTTGTTGTTTATCGATGTTAAGTTGTATAAAATATTAGCGCAATATTATCGTGTTATTATCGTGAGCACAAGTGTTAAACATAAATTTCATAAATAATAAGAAAAGAAAAAAACAATTATTTGTAAATAAATTATATTCATTGTTAGACAAATTATTATCAAATTTTGTGCAAATACTAAGTAAATAGCAAATGAATCCATAAATTTTGGTATATAAAAACAAAATATAATAGAAACTGGTTATACTTTTATACTCCTCCAATGAAGGCAATTGAAAGAAATTTACACCCTTAGCAATAAATTTAAAATGCCGTATATAATGAAGGATGATGACTATTTATGAAAATTAGAATTAGATTGATTCTTTAAGAAAGCAAATTCTAAAGAAAGGGAAAACCCCATTACATATTTATGGCGCGTTACTTGTATCATACAGCTGACGACTGGCAGAAAGGTTAACAACAATCGACCGAAATTCAGCGGAAAAACGGATTAACCGAATAAAAACGTCGCGGTGAATTTAGGTAATGGTAGCTTGTTTGTAAAAGAGTACTTAAGCAGAATAGTTGCGTTGGCCGAAGAGTCAACGAGAATTAAAATGCTGCAAATAATTTGTAAATGGACCTCTGAGTAATTGTAAATAAAATTCATACACATTCACAACTCAATGGTACGAACTTAATTTCGAATTTGTTGAATAAATAATGTAAAATGACGAAAGACAGATTTACGTTAAAAGATTACATATATGAAAATTGTATTTGTAATAGGTACACAAATTCGGGATTTATGCATAAACATTAATAGCTATACTGCGTGACAAAATGCTAAAAAGCGAAAGAAATTTTCTTCTGCCGACAAGAGTGAATTCATCCAACATATTCATCATTCAAAAGTATGTCAGACTAACAATGGTCAAGGAGCAAGGAATTTTTTTAATATTCGACATTAGGCTTAAGAGCCATAAATATAATCGCGAAAGCAATGTTAGTCGTAAATGAGGACACATTCTTTAAAAGAAATTTTTGCTTAAGATAGGTTATGTTTCTCAATCTATCCATTCATTCAATTATCCATTCATGCAGTTGTTTATTTATCCTTCCAGTTCTGATAATAACGAAATATGAATTGAATAGAAACTTTGCGCACATGATTGCGGTTAATGGTTATAATTTGGCATGAAAACGGGTATTATTGGAGAATGAACACGTCTGCTATAGAAAAACAAATGTAAAGAACTAATTAAAAGTTTCATAACAAGGTAGTCAACAACTTGCCAACTATGTTAGATCCAGTTGGTCTAAATACTTGTTTTCGTTTGATGGGTAAATATTGCCGGGTGCCCAATTGACATGCCAATGTTTCGCAATTTTTGTTCATGTATGTACTTTACTCGGTGAGTATTAGTTAAAATACGAGATTTTATATACATTATTTTTTCACTTCAAATTGCATGTACAATTGTCGCTGCTAACACTAACAAAATGGCCATTACACATATTATATAGTGTATATATAATCTTGTTTGACGTAAAATTCCAAGTCAATTTGACCGTTTATTTTCATTCATTTTTAATTATTCGTCTGTTTTCATTTCTCGGAAAACTTATGATCACTGAACATATCGCATGTGTATTCTAAAATGGTAATAGACTAAGTTTGGATGTAAAATTTGTTTGCGAGCATGCTCGCAATACAGTCAGAACTATAATGTATCATCCATTTAAGAGATCGATTTATAAATCTGGTACGAATACTTCGTAATGCTTTCAAACAAACGGTTGAACGTAAAACTGCTGCTTAGCTCTGTGTGAGGGACAAGAAAAACGTTTGTCGCAAAACGAAATTAATATTTACGAGTATTTCTATCATATATATGTCGGCCGTTGAAAAAATTACGTTCTTGTTTCAGTATGTTAGATTCTTAAGATTCCATTAAAGCATTTTTTTTTTTCTTTTTGGGCAAGTCATTGATTCTATTTATGATTTTCGTTTAAGCAATTAGCAGGCATTTAAAAAATAAGATAACTTTTGAACCACGTATTTAATGCAATCAAACATGCTTACGTCAAATAATTAGAGTGCGTACTAAGCAATATTTTTTTGTAAAAAAGTATGTAAAATTAAATTAAATAAGAATTATTTAATTTAAAAAAAAAAAATTTAATTGAAAAAATTAAATTTATTTTAATAATACATTAAAGAAATCTAAATTAAAACAAATTAATGTTAAATAATAAAATACTGATAAAATAAAGTTCTTCACCGTTTTTGTGAAAAAAAAAAATAAATAAATATAAATATAAATAAACAAAGGAGAAACTTAATCTATACTTGTAGGCATTATAATAATGTATTTTATAAGTGGGTGTATATTTACTGTTTAATGATTATTTATAATTGTATCATTATTATTATTATGATTATTATTATTATTATAAATTAAGGTACTTACACTTATCCTGTCGTCGCCGGCGTCGGCAAATGCAAATAATGATGCAACAGATAATAATAACGGCCAGTAATAAGACCAATATGCTGGCCACCAATATAATTAAAGTGGTTTTATCCCAACGTTGCCACCAGGCGAGTTGTTCTAAATTGAAAATGTAATAAACAAGAAAAGGAAAGATGATATGAAAATAATGCAAAAGGGGGAGAGGGAGAGAGAAAGAAAAACAAGAAACAATTAATTATAATGGGGAAATGAAGTAAAAAAGTTTTAAGGAAAATAAAATCAAAATCAACACATGCGAACAAGAAAAAGTAAGACAAATGCAGGCAGACGATAGTCATTCATAAAATATGGATTGTTAGCAGTTCATTTTTATAGTTTTGCTTCTCATTCTCTAGTCAATGCAAAAAAATTCTTTTATCTATCATAAATAATTACAACAATTCTAACTGATTTGTGAATTTTATATTAATATCAATTTTTGCTTCGATAATATTATATAAATACTAGGTTGGTCCATGCACTCATAGAGTTACTATTCTTTGTTCGATTTGAGTGTTTTTCTACTGTTTCTCTCTTCCAGAAAATAATTTTCTCGTATATTGGAATTTCTAGAGAAAGAAATTGAAAAGTCGAAAAGGCATCGAGACACAGTGAAGCTAGCTAAATATGAAACTAACAGGTTGAAGGTAGATGTTCTTTCAACTTGACGAGTAAAAAAAAGAAAACAAAGAAAACAAAGAATGACTTTTCAACGTTAACAATATTGACTGAGAAGGTGATTTCCAATCAATGAAACTTGCATAAATGCTTCAAGTATAAATGTTAAGTTAACTTATGTGAAACAATAATGAAAACGGGATGGCGTAGCTATTCCACATTTTGCCTGCTTTTGAGCATGTAGGCAAGATTTCTTCGAGAAACTCGTCATGAGAAATGTAATGATATGAATGAAGGAAATTCTCATCTCAGAAGGTTGATGGTTTTCACTTGAGATATAGAGATAGAGATAGAAAGAGAAAGAGAAAGACGCTGCAAACCTGAAAGTCATATTTCCTTCTGAAAAAACTTTGCATATAACTGGAAAAAGTCAATTAATAAGTCACCAAGATACTTTGACGTAAGTCATAAGCATTTTTTTCAATCATCATAGATTGCGAAGATTGCCAAAGTTTTCAATTATTATGAGGCCGATCTCAGAATGACATAGACCAATACTTTCTTTTTTTTCACTGCCCATATGCGGCAATTAGCTCTTGTAGTTTTCCAATTTCTGGCGAAATATCATAAATCCGTTCATCGAGGGGTGAAAGTGGACTGTCAGGGTGTAATTGTTACAGCGAATATTATTTCATTCGGATATTGCGCGAAATCAAGACATTTTACATATCATATTACAAATATATCAAAAAGGTATTCTTGTTCTTCTAATATCTAAATGTAGGTTCAAATCATTGCTGAAATAGGAATGCAGTGACAGAGTATATTTTTGAGATAATTCAGTTCAGTATATATATGACTTATATTTGTGTTACGTAATTGTTAGTTTGTCAATTCTGTAGAATCAATGCATGTAAGTAGTATAAAATAGTTTCGTTTGCATTATCTCTGAAGTGCATAACGGTGTACATTGTTGTCATGGCTTTTCGGAAAAAAAAGAAATAGATTACGTAGGGTACATAAATAGTGGCTTCCATTTAAAATTTTTGAAGAGATTTACATTAGAAAATGTTTCAAAATATAATGGTTCTTCTAATTATTTCTATTAAGAGTGATCTTAAAAGCTTCAACGCTTAATACTGCTATAATCCTTCAGTGGATTTGTCTTCAAGTTGATTAATACATGTTTTAAGAAATCTGGGCCTTGTACTTTTCGGTCTCGGCAGCAATAGCCGGCATGGTTATATGAGTTATTATAAAAATGCGCTCCACACTATTTTTGTAAAGTTTTACACGCCTTCAGCCATATCACAATATATCAAGCGGAAATATAAAGATGCACGCAATCACGTGTAAATCGCCTTTTTACATATTTTTGTACGCCATTGTTGTACACGTCTATGGTTCGTATAGTGATATTTCATATATGAAATATATATCTGCATATGTAGAAATAAATAAATGTATAAAAAATTTTCTATACAATAATCGTGTGACATATATAAATGTGGTTTTGAGGATAAATAACAAAATATGTGCTCTGGAACTTTTAAACAGAAATAGCTCTACATAAAAAAAAAAAAAAAAAATAATTTTTTGAAAAACAACTTTAATCAACTTTGACTTTAGAGAAAATGTACAATAATTTACTTACTTCTAGGACGTACTGCATTAGATTAATTACATTGTATTTAATTTTAAAAAACCGTCGGTTAAGCATGTTAAGTATTTTTTTTTTATAATTTTCATTTAAGCATTATAAGTAGGCAAAGGGAAAAAGTTTTAAACAAATAGTGTTAGTTAAGCAAAATTATTTTCAAAGATTACTTTGCTACATTAATTAAAAAAAAAAAAAAAAAAAAAGAAGCGAGAATATCGTTGTTTATCATAAGCGATGTAAACTAAAAACCAATGAAGATTCTAGCAAAGGTATATTTGTAGGAATTTTTTGGAACTATGAAGATTTTGCAGGTAAAATCAGTAAAAAACAAAGCCCTTAAATAGGTCGTAGGCTTTACTTTGAACTTTTATGACGCATTTGACAGACGTGTAAGTTATAAAAAAGGAAAAAGAATTAAATCTCAAAATTCAACCATAAAATAAGGAGTGCGGAAATGAATTCTGAAGAGGGCATCTTAAGGGAAATTTTAGGATACCAACTTTACCTCTCCACCATATATAAAAAGCCGAACCGGCTGTAATAAGAAAATAATTTTAAGTCAATAACAAGAGTAATATTAAACTAAACAAAATATAGGATGAATGAAATCCAAAACTGTTTTTTTTTTTTAATTTTATTTACCATAAAGTTTTACAATTTTAGTTAAATGTGGTTTATTATCTTGAGATATGTCAATAACAGAGTATGTTTATTGTCTTCAACAAAAGAACACCATATGTCGTTAATAGAAGAAGACTAATAAATGTGGAAAAGAAAAAGTAGTGAACACCAGATTAAAGAAGAATTTAGTTAAAAGTGAGATAATTGCAAAAAAAAAAAAAAGTAAAAAATAAAGGAAAAATCGTAGAGGAAATTATATAGTTTGAATTAACCTTGAAAGATAAGTGAAGTTTGATAATTTGCACCTGCGCACGAAAGAATTCGACTTGGATTTGCATGCAATGCTCAATAAGAGCAAATGTAGAAACTGTGCGAAGTTCAACTGTTGGACACTTTTTGGGAAGGTTGCGGCTAATTTGGAGGTTCGTATTCTGGATGACTTAAGAGCTTTTACTATGGGTTTTGGGCTTTGCATGGGAAATGTTTGAAAAAGTGATTCGATTCGAATCATTTTCAGTACAGTTCGTTTTTGGTTTAAACACGTCACTGTACTAAAGTTCTTCATAATATCTCAAAAATAACGGACGGTAGGTTGGTTGAACATAAGGAAGCAACATTTGACAGGCGGACAGACGGACAGACAAGCTTAAATCGATTTAGAAAGCGGTTCTGAATTGATCGGTATAATAAGAGGCGGTATATCAAGCCCTTCTGCGTATGGCAAACATCTGCACAAGCTTAGTATACCCGTGTACCGCAAACGGTGTAAAGCATAACGAGTCTTATATGCAATATCTTATATATCAAAATGAATTTACAATTTAATATAGAAAAAACAGCTTTAGGGCATACATTTTTAATAGGCATAAAATGTAGAGGTAAGAATATTACTGCTCGATTACACGGTATTACCTAATGCCATTATGAATCATTTTGAATCGCTATCGCAAACTAGGCCACTAGAGAAATTAGATCATCGACATCCGTCTTTTAATTTCCCACTAACTATTATGAATGGAAGTGTGGATTTCAAAATGTTCTTGCGTTATTTCAAAATAAATTTTCTTAATGCCATGCCTCTCAATGCCATGGGGTTTGCATTAGTTATTTTTCAAATTTAGCTAATTAGACTTACGCGTCCAATTTACGTCAAGTCCAACTTTGCTTACCTCGACTTGTTCACTCATAAGCACTCATTCTGCAGTACCATGATCTTCTTATTATACCGACGTACGAGCTTTTCTCTTCTATCTAAGTTTTAATACCCGGTATTCCACTATGTACACATGTATTTTCAGTAGAGTTTAGGACAGTTAAAAATTTATTTTCGCTACGTTGCATCCTGCGGTAGAGAGTGTGCGTCGTATACTTTCATTAAAGTTTTTGAATAATTTTGAATGTTTATCATAAAAAAATATTGTACAAAATACTTATTTCATTTATTGTTCATTGCTTGCCAGTACTTTTCCATGCTTGTACGCGGGAAGGTAATTTGGTCTTGCAAGGTTATGCACGAAAAGATCGATTTTGTTAGTATTGTCTTAGGAATTCCAGTTCAGTACTGCTAACGTTTCCTTTGAGACAACGTTATCATGTTGAAGAGTTACGACATCATGATTTTTGTGATATTGTGTCTGTTTTTCGACTTACTTGGATAAGTTGGTGTAAGTAGTGTTTCTTATTGAGGGATTCATTTGGATTGAGCAACTCACAATGCACTAGACCAAACTGAATGGATCAGATGGCGATGGTATTCAACTCACCGAGTTTGCATTAATGCTGTTTTGCGTTTTTTAATATCATTTTCCTTTTCCATTACAAAAGCAGAATATACAAATTTTAAGCAGAAAGTATATGCTTCTCGCATGTGGCGTTTTTTTTTCTGCTTCTGCAGAGCTCAATCTATTCGAAATTACAGAATATTATGTTTTGCTTAATTCAGTAACATAACTTTCCTCGTTGCATAAAAGTTATATACGATACTTTCGATGGGGGACATAACGACTTCACTCAGCGCTCTGTAAAACCAGTCGTACGTTTCCAACAACTTCATAATACACCCAACTTTTATGATATCATTTGGTTCAAAAAACGATTCCAAATCGATTTAAGCGTATATAACTACATGCTAATTTGTCAGTCTCTGCAGGTATTTACACTTCTAAATTACAGTTTATAACTTTTGGAATCATGCTAGTTCTTACCAAAGAATAAGTTCTTGCACGGCAAATTGATAGAATCTTTCGATAAAAATAATAATGATTTGGGATGTAAGTTTACTCTATTAAATTTGAGCCGCATTACTCTACTACTCTTTTCTATCATATAAGGCTTGTCATGAAAACTGGGAACTGTTTAAGACGAAATGATCGAGTGTATTTAGTGGCGGTTTTACGATTACTAAGTTTAAGTAGAGCAAAAATGGAGAGAAAGTGTAATTAATTTCTAATCTTCTTAATAATAATAACTTTAAGATAGCAAAAGCGGATGGGTCAGCCCTATGAAAAGATCGTGTACCTAATCTTTGCCATATTGATGGTGAAAGTTATTCAAGTATTTTAGAAATGCTTCTGCTACGTAATTAGTGAATCAGTTACGTAATCAGTGAATCGAGAGTACAATTGTTCTTAAGATCGATAAAGATTCTCTTTCTGCAATGAGTAAGGTCAGCTGCATTATTTTTGATGATTTGAAGCACGCATTAAAATTTTAATATTTTCAGTACCGCTAACGATAGTTTCGATGTCACGTAAACATCTATAAATGAATGAAGTAACGTAAAATGAATATAAAGCAAACAGGTTAGCTTGAAAGTTAAACTTAATATTCTCATAGGGAACCAAATAAAAGCCGAAATAAATTAATGTAAAATATTACATTACATTTGTTGGTATCGCAAACATTAAATTGACTTTTCAGCAAAATGAAATAAAACAAGCGTAGTAATAACAAATAGCATCAGCTTTTATTTTACAGTTGCTGAGGGCACAATCCGAGGGGCCAACGTTTTACGGTGCACATTAGGATTTTTATACTAGTGCTTCTTGGTAAAATCACTTACACATGAAAATTGTAGTGAATGTGAAATAAGAATAAGTGGTTCTTTCTGTTTCAATTTAAATCAAAGTTTTTATTTTTAAGTTTATCCGCCTGAGTAGTGGGTGGTCGTGGGTTCGAATCTCAAGTGCGGTAGAGTTTATAATAAAAGCCGATAGCCTTAGATGCTAATGCTTTTAAGAGTTTAATCTTGGAATTTATTTCTGTGGCGAAATTAATAATAATAATAATAATAATATTTTTAAGTTTAAACTTATATAATACATTTTCCCTCATAGCCATTTCCAAAAACCCACACATGTAGATAATATGTATATAAATGCAATTATGTTATCTATTGTTTCATTTAAACACGTTATTACTTCCTGTGCCATCGTATCCCACCCGACGACATTATCATCGTCAATATTAATGCGGGTCAATCGATTAACAAACTGAAAGAATGAGAAAGGAATGCAGAGAAAGACGGAAAAAAAATATTCTCATATAATATATGAGAATAAGTGCCTGTGTGTTTGCATTTGTAACAAATATTGACAGCAATCAGTTTCCGTTATCTTCTAGCTACAGCAGGGAGAAGAGAAAGCTCATGTAATAGCAACGAAAAGACGTTGAAATTTTTCAAGTGATTGTCCTTAAGTAGGACCCTACTCACCTCCAGTGGGTGTAAGCTAATTCAGCCAGTTGGCGGTGATAGACACTGGCGAGCATTTTTATTCCTTCCAATATTTAATAATTTTTTTTCTTTCTGTTTTGTCTACACTTGAGTTCAATTTCTAGCGTTATTGGAAAAACTAATGAAGGGTAGCGATGATTGATATGGCTGCACAGAGGGAGTGACTAATAAATACTATGAAATGAATAAATTTTTGTAAAGAGTAGCTAGGAAAACAGTAGCAATTTCAACGACATTGTCCTTTTCTTTTTTTTTTTTTTGATTCTTTTCGTTTCCTTTCAATTCGAAATTGAAAGAAGAAAATTTAAGAGAAATAAATTTTTAATATGTTTTTTCTCTTTTTATATGGGATATTATATGCTTTTTCTCGATTTTTTAGCTTTTATCACAATTTCCACTTACCAGCAACTTCAACTTCACAAAATTGTCCCGCGCCCGCCGTATTATTGGCTACACAACGATAAGTACGTGCGATGGCATAGTCTTCAGTTAGAATGTAAAAGCTTTTATCTTTGGATGCCTTATTATCACCGCTGCCTAGCCACTCGACAGATTCATTTTCCGCCTTAATTGACCATGAAAAATCAGCCTGTCATTTACCACAAGTACAGTAAAAATGAGAAACGGTAAAAATTGTGTAAATGCGTAATATATATAGAGAAAGAAAGGAAAAAAAAGTGGGACAGAGAGAGAGAGAGAAAGAGAGAAAGAGTGAGAGAAAGAGAAAGAAGGAAAGAAATTTTATTGAATTAAAGAATTAACAAATAAAAAAAAAAATCATTTAAAACAAACAAAATACAATTTAATCAATACGACGTAAATGCATGTCAGGCTATATTCATAATTGCGATAATTTTCTGATGAAATGCTTTTTAATGAGTCGAATGGAAGAGTTGAAGGTTTTCTTTACGTCAATTAACCCTCATTTTGTAAATATTCTTCTTGTTTTCTTCTTCTTACTTAATGTAGGCTCTGACATTGTCTTTCTTAAGCATTTGTGTTTGCTAGTCCGTTTGAATGATAACAATGTAGGTAAGACAGCATACTAAGTTATCAGTATTAGAAAATAGGCAAGAAAGTTATTCTTGCTTTAGGGCGCATTTTCGATATAAAATCAATGTGAATGTAAATATTGTGCAGTTCTATATTAACTGAAGTCGAGGAGTTAATAGTTTTACTATTTTAGCATTAAATTTGTATATTGCGTTGTTAAAATTTTTTTGAGTTGATTTGGATTTGTCGCAGCAGAGAACTTGTGCTATATGTGTTTGTGCTGAAGCAATTTTAAAATTTAATAGAAAATTTTTCTCAATGTCTCTGAGATTTCTATTTGTCTAAAGTTTATTCTTGTTCAGCAGTCAAATTCTAATTCGATTTAAGCATGTCCGTCTCTTACAGATTATTCTGTCCGTCTGTGTAATGTCTCTTGTGAACATTCCCCTAGAGGCCAAAAATGAAGCTATCGACTGCAAGTTTGGCACGCACATGGGCTAAATCGGTCGAAGGACATGCTCACAGCACCACGTAAAATGAGAACATCTCTGCTGCTTGTTGATTACTCATAAACTGTAGCAAATAAATGTACAAAAATTTCAACGCATATTCTGTAGGCGATGCTGTAGCATTTTTGTAGAAAAATAAAAAAATTGAACACAGTTACCCAATATTATAGCGTATCAAAATTTTCAATATCTTTATAACGCGCAGCAAGAAGCTTCAAAAACCCCATAAAGTATATAAATCCTTGGCGAGTTTCAAATTTGGAATACACCTAAACTTGTCCGCCTGTTTGTCTGTCCATCTAACTGTTTGCGTAACTTTGTAGTATATGTGGTAGTTATACCCCCGTTAGCGAAAATGAAGGTATCGCCTACAAATTTGCAAAAGAATTTGAAATTGATTTTAACTTTTCAGAGTACATGCCTACAGCGCCCATATCCCTATAAGACAAAAACTTTTGTTTTAAAAATAGAAGGAAACACCTGCATTTATAGAAATTTAAGATAAGTGAGGATCTATTATCTGGATATAGAATAAATCCCTTTGTTTCACTGCGTTATAAAACATTCCCGATGGTAGTGGGCGGTAGCGGTAGAAATTGTTGCATCTTTTAACTAACGTAAAGTTTTATATGCGGGAAAGGTGTAATTTTCATTTTTTTCTCGTAACCGATGAGAATGAACATTTTTTATTCTCCATTATTTTGTTGTTGTTAGTTTTGTTTATTATTTTCTTACTTTTTTTTTATTCGTTGATAGACTATTAGTGATGCTTGTCGCGTCTCTATATATGATAAACGATGTGTTGCTATGCGTTCATTCATTTTGGTTTTGTTTGTTGTTTTTTTTTACCATTGTTTCATTTTTATAAAACTGTGTTTACACAATAACTGTATCGTATTGTCCAGAAGTGTGCATTTATTGTGTTTGTATGTATTTATCCGAAAGGGGCTTGTTGGTAAACAATGGTGGTTGTTGTGTCAGTTATTGATGTGTGTTAAAATTTTATGAGTTTTTCGATAATAGTAGTGGGTGGTAGTTGATGTTCTTGTTGTTATTAGTAGTGCACCTACCTCTTCCGGATTTCCGTAAGCTGTACAAATTAAAGTATCCCGATCATCAATTTCGCGCCTTTCAATCTCACAGCGGGGTTTATCTGTAAATATCAACAACAAAAACAATAATGAGAAAATTTATAAATGAAATTCTTTTTTCATATCATACCAACCATCTAAGTATAGGAGTAAGCCATATTTGTTCATTGGTTGGCAACACCCATTAAGACGTAGCAAAGATTAAGTGTATATATGTTTATAAATCAATATCTTTCTATTAGTTTAAGGCTTCGAGCCGATTGAACCAAGTCTATCTAGATCTATCGCATTTTAGAACATTTAAAAGAGCTTAGATAAAAATTTTGAAACTTATGTTTAATTGGTGATACAATGTTCGAATTATCCACCTGTCACAATACCCACAATATTCAGAATAGCACAACTTATATTTCATAGCATATGTTAATGTAATACTAACATTTATCCGCAACTATCTGCCCGCACGCTCACATGAAATAAAGAACCGTTACTTATAGGCTGTAAGATGTATTGATATAAAATACGCATTCTTTTTTAAAACCAAAAAAGGTTCACACAATTAAAACGGCATTGTCTATAATATAATTTTCTTATATGTTTTTTATTAAATTAGTATAATGGTTTTGAAAATAAAAAAAAAAAAAAATGTTTCCCCTCAGAAATCAAGAAGTAATGCAGGTGCAGTGTATGCCTAGTTCCCGTTAAAATTCTTAAGGTTAACCAACAAATTTGATTTGATTACCTTTTTTGAATATTCTGAACTCGTAAATAGATTCCTTAAATATATTGAATTTGCAAAATGAAATAAATCGAAATAAATTAACTTGAATGGCACTTGAACGAAATTCTTCAAATCAATTAAAGCCGAAATACACCTCGAGCAGACTCTCATAAGATCGTGCTGAATGCCATTGAATTGAATCGAATTGAAGTGAATTCAAAACAATTTCAAATTTCAATGTTTCTAATATCTACTGCTAGTGCCATCCCGGTACTGATATCATTCAGCGTTTTTGAAGGAATTGCAGCATTGTCGAAGAGAATTGGCTAAGTTGGTGGTTTGGCTAAAAAATGAGTTCTCTTTCTTCAAGCATCTTTACATAATCGTCAGAAAATTAAAATGCTCTCGGGAAAGATTGAACACTACAACGCCGCAACAAGTTTCGGCGAAGGACGAATAACGATCCAAATTTTGTCACAACACTGAGAACGGGGTAAAAGCTGTAATCATCAATTTACGATTCCGATGACAACAGAAATCTTTCTTTGTCGTTAATCGATATGCAAGGTTCGTTGAAAGACATATATTTTCTTATTATTAAACTATAATTAAAGTCGAAACAAATTTCAAACGAAGTCGTAACCAAAACTACATCGAACCACATAATATTGTGATTTCTGTCGCTGCCAAAATGCTATTTTTGGCTTTCGTGCTGTAGGATATTTATATGTTGGGTACATCGAGCTATGGCTGTTAAAAAAAAAAAAAAAAAAAAAAAACTCTTACTGGGTAGCATTAACTTTTTCTTTTTATTTTAAAGGAAGCTCAGTTGAATCATGGCATCGACATATTACATCCTATAATCTATACGAGCGTATGCTCTGTGTTTAATGTTAGGTGTAATGGCGACTTCAAGTGAGATACGTTACTAAAAACACTTATAGGGCCAAGCTTTAAACAAAAATGGGCGCATAATACGAAAGGATATTATAGAGCCATTTACAGCATAATAGTGGTTATCGTCACCGTATTATGTATAACTCAAACAGAAAACATTCGTAGCATTGAACTATCTCGCTTTAATTATGGCCTGCCCGTGTAACTTTTCCATACTTATGGCGAAATCGGAAAGTGATTCCTTTTGTGGGTCCACGCAAAAGACAAATAATTTCTTCAACAAAGAGTCCACATGCTGCGAGAAAGATTGCAAAATAATGGCTAATGATGAACAACACTTTATATAGAATATCTCGTATCATTTTTTTTGTTAACTAAGGAATGAAACATAACGTAATCACACCACCATTGCCTTCATTTGTTTTTGTTATATTTCAACTTAAACCTAGAAATGACAACAATGAGAAACGAATGCTGCGCAAGTTGACTTTTTAAAGAAAGGACTTCTGAACTATAAAGAAGTAGGTAAAGAAATACCTTTCGTGTCATGTCCATAACAAAAGCCACAAGCCAGAAAAGTAAATAATATTAAATAATATTAAAATACATATAATTGAAAAAACGTTCTTTCAATGTTCTTTATTTTTTTCTAATACTTACACTGCACATCAATAAATGTTTCGGCCGTATTGCGACCGTGCTTATTAAAGGCTGCGCAAGTGTAGCGACCGGTATCATTACGCATCATCGACGTATTGATGATTAAAGCATTACCTCGTATGACAGTTTTATTATTATGCAGCCATTCATAGGTGGGTTCTAGTTGAGGTAAAGAAAAAAAAAAAAAGAAGAGGAAAAGCAACAATAAAAAAAAAGTAGTGCCAAAATATATTTATGTACGCATTATAAAAATCGATATTTTTTTTCGCCATTTTTTTTGACGATCCCAATTTTTGAAAATTTTTTTTTAATATATGCTATTGGCTGTACCCTTACCCGGATTAGCTCTTGATTTGCATATGACACGTCCTGGTATTGTTTCCTCTTGTACATAAACAACTTCTTCCGATACGGTGGTATTATCGGGGGCATCTGTCATAAAATTTCATAACAATAATATAAACCATAACAACAAGAGCATCGCCAACAGCAACAATCGCTGGACACATATGCATAAAGAAAAAAGTAATAGCCCGTATATATAATATATATATATATATATATATATATATATACATATATTATAATATATAGTGAATATATTTGTATGTATATACATGTAAACTCTATTGTTATACACTGACACATGTGTCAAGGATTTCAAAGTTTTATCTGTTGTTTTCAATTTGTTTGTATGTACGTGAGTGTTTTTGTGAATGTGTGCTGGCATTCATCCTTTTTATATATTTATTGTTGCTGTTGCTTTTGCCATTGTTTTTACCAGGATTTATAGACATACATATAAAAACATACGTGTGTAGCCTGCATGGTATCGCAAGTACGTATGAAGACACTTTGTTATGGTTTTTGGATTAAAACTTACATTCAATGCTGAAGTAAGTGGCACTTTTAATACCCGGGCCCACCGTATTGCCTGTGGATACGCATGTGTAATTGGCATTATCGCCTTCAATGTCAAATTTCTTATTTGGCCAATTGGACATATTGAAATGCTGTACGGATTAAAAAACAAACGCAGTTTTTCTTATTCTTTGTTTTTTCAAATAAATAAAGAAAGAGGCTTTAAAGATGCATTTAAGAAAAGAAATAAAGATTGTCAGAAGTCAGAGATCGATTTCTTTTCCATTTGCAAAAAAGTATTAGTCATCACCAAACTAAGTAAGAAAAGACCACGGCAGATTTTGCACTGCTTTTGAAGCACTCGGGCCATATTCCCGTCAGAGAGAGACATTATAAAAGATAGATATAAATTCCTAGTATTAAGCACGTGCGTTCATATAGTAACGCATTTATCTGTTGTTGAAACTCTAACGATCACAAGAGCTGAGGTATTATATGTTGAGATATATGAAATCAAATATGCAAATAGACGTTGTTCCCCATCAAACACGTTTGTAAGTGCTAAGCAATTTTAAACGAGGACTTTAGAAAAGCAGGAGACTTTCAAATATTCTCAGTGATGGTAACTTGTAGCTTTCATCAGACGTAGTTCCAAACTTTGGCAAATATGTTTATTGTGGCCTCTTAAAAGTCTTGTTTGCAACGGACTAATAAATTCTTGGTTAAATTGGTGGCAGTCTACAATTCCCAAAATATTTTCAATAATTTAAGCTAATAAATAGCATTAAAATAAAAAAAAAGGAATTTCTTCGGATTTTGAACTCAACGGGTCCTTTTATATATATAGAGCTAAGATTGCTGATTTAACGACTAAAGCCTAGATTCCCTTTACCTCCTTAAGATGGTTTTACGTACTAATCTGATATAGGAGTAATTATGTGTTTGGTTATATTTTCAATAGGAGTATAACGAATTCATTTGTCATAGAAGTCTTTCCTTTGCATCAATGGGTTGTTTGCTGAGTTTACAATCTATCCAAACTTATCAAAGTTATGCTTTACCACTTTTCTTCTTATATATATATATATGTATATATGAAAGAGGGTGTATACTGAAAGCGCAATAAGCAAAAGGGAGCCACGGCTTACCGTCTTTCCTTTATCAATCCGTTAAGGTATGCAAACGTTTTTTTAAATTTTTATTTCATATAAGAAGAGCAACACAAAAAGGCATTACATTTACAATCTTCTACCGTTCCTCCGTTGCTGAATATCGCGTTTAGCAAGAAAAAATGTATCTCAATTACTTTATCGGCATTAAATTGCACAAACGCTCTCTAAAGGTTGTGGTGAAAAAGGCTTTACGAAAAGTCTCCATACGTGCTCTTAATTTTGTTATTTTTATTTTTATCGTGGTTTTCTCTTTATTTTTTATGTTTCTTGCCCTATTTCTCTTTATAAATCTGCTTCTTCATTTAACATTACCGTCTCATACACTTACCAATACTGAAAGCATACTTTCGAAGTCTCCGGTGGCTGGTGAGGCATCCATGTACTTGTCTTTGACAAAATAGCGTGTATCGTTTTTGTCGATGGGCACGCCATCCTTTAGCCAGGAAATTTCACAGCGCGGCACACATTCAATGCGACATGTAAGATTCGCATTACGGGATGTATGCAACATGCCCGTGTACGGTGGCAGATTTTTGATGAAAAACGGTGGTGCATGCACCTCTAAATTGACTGTAGCCATAACACCTTTGCCGCCCTCATTGAAAGCATAGCATGAATAGTTTGTGCGACTATCCAAACCGACGGGTTCGACTGTCCAATCTTTCGTGACAACGTCTTGCAGTGGACCACGACCGCCACGCAGCCAGCGATATCTGAATGAAGGCATTACGGTTTGGGCAACACATGAAAATTTACCCATTTTACGATACAATGAAAGCGTTGATGTTGTTGGTTGCATTGTTGTTGCAACGCCACCCCCAACATTGGCGACAGCATCCGTGGCCGTAACAGCATATTCGTCATTATTGTAAGCAGCATGAGATGTGTGTTGACGAGGATGATGATGGTATCGTTTGTTATTGTTGATCGTGGTGGTGGTGGTTGTGGTGGTGGTTGTTGTTGTTAGCAATGTTAAGATTTGTGATTGTGGTGAAAATGTGGTCAATGTGAGCAGTGTGCAAAAGGAATTGTTTGTTAAATCAATTAGTGCATGAGTTTCTTTAAGCACATGTTTTGGTTTTAGTTGGGAATTATCTGCATGTGGTTCTTGTTGCTGTTTCTGTTGTTTTTGTTGTTGTTGCTGTACATGTAGTTGTTTTTGAAAATGTTGGCCAATTAAAACTTCATAAGCTTCTTCTACCTCAGAAGCTTGCAATTGTTGTACGGTATACATTTGTATTTGTGGTATAAGTGTGGAACGATTTGTTAATGACCATAAAGTCGGAATGGATGATAATGATGATGATGACAATGATGATGACAGTAGTGATGGTAATTGTGATGATGACATGGATAATCTTGGTTTATGATGGTGTTTGTAGTGATTCATGGGAGGATAAATGCTATTAAATATCTGAATGTTTTTATTTACAAACCTATTAGATTCCGGATAGCCCGGATCATCTACTGAGCAAGAGAATGTAACGCTTTTCTTCTTTACCGCTATTAAGGGAAAATGTGTCACAACAGCCGGACCGGGCTCATAATGTACCTGATGAAATCGATCATTAACTATGGTTACAGCAAAAAGTGTTTTTTTTTTTTTTATACAAACCAATAACTCTTTATCGTCGCTTCGTGTTCCCCAACCAGCAGCATTATAGCCCTCACATGAATAATTATAGAAAAAACCGCGTCCTATACTTTCCAATAATAATTTACTGGGATCAATATGACACAAATCCTCCTTTTTTTTGTAAGGGATAAGAGGGTAAATATAAAATAAGTAAATATTATATATTACGACAGTGGCATTTACCCGCGTTTCTTCGCAATCGGGCAATTCCTTCAATAGCGTGGAATTGGCGTACCAACGCACTTTAGATAAAATGGATGGATTGGCATCTAAAATGTTACAAAATAATGTAACATTCGATTCGTCACTTTCTTTGACAGGACCCTCGGGTATCATCAAAACCTCAACGATTGGTACAACTACAACAACAAAAGACAAGCGAAAGGTAAACAACACGAAAAACATGCGTTTGTCGCATAACATGTAAACTACTTCGTCATCTAAGTGAACGAGGGGAGTTCAAAAGACTTACATTGTACATCTAAATCGGTTTGTTGCTCTGAGATGCCTTTGCCAATGACATTCGACAATTGGCATGAATAGTTACCAATATCCTGCTTATCGGTGGAGCGTATAACTAAAGCTACATTCTCCGAATTGCCACCTTCATAGCGTTCAGTGTCATTCACGTTAACCATATCGCCGTTGCGATACCTACGAGAATGAACAAATAAATTGTTGCATCAACAATTTTTAATAAAACTTTTATGCGCCTCTAAATTGTGAAAATTTATAACATGCCTTTGAAAAGTAAAATTTCCCTCATGTTGACAATCAAATTAATTTGAATATTTTTGTAATTCAATTTATAAAACCAAGATTATATAATAATAAATTTACCTCGTTATCTCCCCTTATTTTATAGTCTCTTGGCCGTTATTCTCTAATTTAAATCGTTTTAACTTTGCATCATTCTACATACAACGCCCCCTGTCCACATAATAGAGTGTTGCAGTCGGTAGTAAAATTTAATATTCTTCATTTTCTTTTCTGTTTGTTTTTTTAAGTTACGTTCATTTTATACAAATTGACTATTAAAAGTGAGAAAACTTTTACTGTTAAAAGGCAATTAATTTTTAAAGCTAATTATAAATTATGAACATATTAGAAATGATATATGATGAGAAAAACGAGTGTTCTCTCGTAGCTTCGCAAAAGCTATTCAGCAGTACTACAAAATCGAGGGACAATGTTTATGACTAAATTCAATTATTATGCAAATTGAATGCAGAGAGATTCCCTCTAACAATGAAAACAACTAAAGGATTTTAAATGTTTTGAATATTTTTTTAATTACGTCACTTTTGAATCACTAACAAGTTTATGGTCCAAATTAAAAGTTACTTAAACTTAAAATAAATTTTTCAAAAATATACATTTAAAGCGTTTTGTTTGCATTATGAGTAATTAGGGGATAATTTTTTGCTCGCAATTCAATTTCAATTAACAAGTTTTTTCGTTAAAGTATCTGTAACTGACGCTCAAAAAATCCTAACAGTTTCCGGTTAGTTTATATACCCGTTTTTTTGTTGTATATATTCGACAATGCGTGCAAATGTGATGCATGTGTTCATTGCTTTGGCTGCCTGCAAAAGTATTTGCTTTTCATTAGCGTTGAATTCTGGCGAGCACAAATTGTTGCTAATGAGCACAACAACATGTTAAACAATAAAGATTTTGTATATTGTTGAGCACAACTGGTTTTCATAGAAGGAAAAGAAAAAAGTAAAAAAAAAAAAAAAACAAAAAATAAAAGCAACAAAAAATAAAACCTTTTCAAAAAATAAGCACTTCAGTTAGGTATAAATATTAAATAGCAATGCCAAGTATGAACATTTCGTTTTAATGATAGAATAGAATGAAAGGATAAAAGAAATGCCATTTGAAAGCTTAAGCAAAGTTTTCTTCTTTTCATTTTGACAAGTAACAGCTGATGTAAAAACAAATGCGCTACCACCATCGAAATTATGGAAAAGAAAATTTTAATGTATGTTCCTTTTGCTGTTAAGTCCACATCTATGCGCACGTGTTGTGTTTTTTTATTAAAATAAGTTAAGCCTTAACATTTCCTGAGCTCAAGCTATGAAGCGCAACGGAGAAAAAAAATAAAGTAAGTAGTAAAAAGTAAGAAGAAGAAAGTTTATTTCCCGGCATTGGCCGAATGATTGCATGCTAAGATCCCTTCATAAAGTAATGCATCTAAGCAAGACTACTGGGAATCTGTTCGCTTTGCATCCGTTTCAGCTTCATAATTAAGTGATCTCCTACATCTAAAAAAAGCACGTTTTTTTTTTAAGAATTTACAAGCATTAATATAATTTTTGGTTTACATTTGAACTTTAACATACGTATTTATAATTGTTGCATGCGATAAGCTAAAATGAACACGATCTCGTGTGTTGTCGGTATAAAACTTTTACAATAAAATTCGATTGTAATGAGATTGCAATACTATAAAAGTCATGACTTTCGCAGAAGCACTAGGGCTAAGCTGACTGACCGGCTAGCCGGTTGGAAGGCAAGCACCAGGCAGACATGGATGAGGTCATTAACTTACGAGCAATTCGGCTTATTGCATTTGCGATAATTAAAATTAATTACATTCGTTCAACTGAGAACCGGATTTATGCCACAATGGTTTTTTCATCTTTTTTTAAATGTCGGCTTCTGTGTGTACGCGTAGCACACAGACTGAAAAATTCAATAATAATAACAACAGTAACAGCAGCAGAAAGTCATCGTTGTACAGAAACGTGTTGAATTGTTCAACATAAGTATTAAATAAATTATGGACTATGTTTAAGTTAAGCATAACGTATGCAAAGAAGAAAAAATAATAACTTCGGTCTCTCCTCTTCGTCCTTTCTAGAAAGTAAGGTTCAGCATAATGTGTCCATGAAAAAGAAATAAAAATAATTTAAATTTTATTTGAAAATGTCACATAGGGCTCATGCAGTCCATATCCCCGGTACAAAGTATTAAATTTAAAAACAAAAAAAAAAAAATCCTGTAATTCCCAGCCTATAAATATGATGTGAAAATATATTTGGTATTGACTACACATACACGCATACCTTTGCAGCGGAAAATAATTGCAAACCAAAGGAAATCACTTTCCACAAAAAAAGGGAAGAAATGTTTTTGCATTATTTCCACAGCAACGTCTAGTTACGTATGTAGCACATGATTAAAAACAGATGACTTTTGTTGTTACTTTTCTGTTATTACATATCGTATAAAAAGAATTTATTATAAATTATGTATGTTTACAATTGCGTATGTACACGCGCACACGCACCCACACACATGCACAGGGCTAAGCTAGCATAGTAGTCCTGAGTGAGCCATATACGATGAGCTCCGGAAACAGTTGGGCAAAGGACAAGACTTGCACTGCAGCCTTTTGGAAATGCAGCTCCCATCCGGCAACCATGAGATTTATATCAGCAGGGGAGGGCTATGTTTGTGTCAAATATATGAAGGTTTACCTTTCCAGCTGCTATTACTCGCCGAGTACAAACCAAGCGGACTTCGAAAAGCAAATAGATGAGCTATGTACCGACGCAAGGGGGAAAACACCGGTAACTTTCGGCGGTGATTTTAATGCCTGGGTGATTGATTGGGGTAACAAGTGGACGAACGCTAAGGGCAGAATAGTGCTTGAATCCCTAGCCTCACTGGATATGATAATTCTAAACGCAGGTGATTAGAATGAGTTCAACAGAGACGGCCGTGACTCCGCGATCGATATTACCATGGCCAGCAGCATAGAATGCGTATAGGTTGGGGTATTAGCAACGTATATACCCGCAGTGGCTACGTAGCAATAATCTGGAAATTACAGCAGAGCCAGAGGGCGGACAGGGTAAGACCTTCTCTTAGAGGTTCCAAAAGGAAACCAGAATCTCTAGAAAAAGAAATTTGCGAGCATATGTTGGGAGAAGCAGAACCGAGAAACTCGTCCTAGGCTTCCGTTGCGGAGGTTATAGCATGGATTATAAAAGCCGGTGGGGGTTCAATGACAAGACGTTGCACCTATAAAAACAAGGAGCCAGTATACTGGTGGGGAGACGAGATAGCTGAATTAAGGATTCAATGTAACAGAGGGAGGCGTGTGTACCAAAGATCTAGGAGGACTAGTGCTTATCTCAGCCGCCAAGAAGAGTTCAAACTCAGGCGAAGGTTTTTGAAAAAAGCGATAATTGTGAGCAAGAAAAACTGCTTCCAGAACCTGATTAGCGAGATAAATGAGGAACCATGAGGTATGGCGTTTAAGTAACAAAGAAGCTAAAATATTCAGACCAACCAAGCTGCGAAGAATTTGTGGAAGAAATAATTGGCACCCTGTTTCCCCAGAAAGCCATGTTTGTATATGTGCCACTGACTGAGGTGAGAGATAATATTAATTTCACCGGGCCTGAGGAGATTGTTGCCATTGCAAAAGAAATAAAAGGCAAGAAAGCGCCGGGTTCAGATGGCATCCCAACCTGCGCTATTAAACAAGCTATGTTGTTGTTGTTGTTTGTGAGCACATTCAACGCTTGTTTGAAAGAACAAATTTTTCCAGATAAGTGGAAACAACTAACGCTGCTGCTTTCAAAGCCAAATAAGCCATCGCGTGAAGCAAATTCATACCGCTCTATTTGTCTATTGAATACGATAGGCAAAGTGTGTAATAATCTCATTTGAAATCGTTTAGAAGAATCACTGGAGAGCTTTAAGAGCTTGTCGGACTCCCAATTTGGCTTCACAAAAAAGCAAAGCCCAATGGATGTAATAAAGGTGGTTACGAACATTGCAGCAGAAGCGATGAAAGGAGCACGCTGGATGGAAGGCAACAGAAAGTATTACTTAGTAATAGCATTAGACATTAAAAATGCATTCATTTCAGCAAACTGATATTGTGTCATAGCTGCCCTTCAGGAAAGAATCTTATGAATATAGTGGGTAGCTATTTTACTAGCAGAAAACTTCGACATTTATAAAGGGTGATCACTGGAGGGGTGCCTCAGGGATCAGTCCTACGACCTACATTGTGGAACGTAATATATGACGATGTCCTGAGACTACCTCTCCCAGAGGGAGCATACATCGTGGATTTTTCTGATGATATAGCGATAGCTATCGTGGCAAAAACTGTGGAGGGAATTACTACTATAGCGAATAAAGCCACCCATATAATTAAGAGGTGGCTGCGGTCAGTGGACTTAGATCTGGAGGAAGAAAAAGACGAAGCGTTATTTTTCTCTTGGGAGACACGAGGATACAGGCACAAGAAGTCATAAAATACCCAGGAGTGATGATCGACTGCAGACTTTCATTTAAACGGCGTCTCCAATACACGAGCGAAAAGGCAGCGAAGGTAGCAAAGTCTCGCGTGCTCACTGCCAAATTTACGGGGTCTTAGGCAAGACTGTAGAAAGCTGATCGCAGAAGTGGTAACTGCGACAATACTGTGTGGGTCTTCGGTGTGGAAAAAGGCCCTCGCTACACGGTCATACACGAGAGACATCCAATCAGTATAGAAACTATGCGCTCTAAGGGTGCGTGGCATATCGGAGGGTGTGGCTAAGCAGCGCGCGAAACAGCGCATGTTGGAAGTTTGGCAGGAGTGCTGGAGCAGAGCGAGTAAGGGTAGATGGACGTACTGGCTC